TTATGTACAAGAAAGCATCATGAGAATTCATATACAGAGTCTCACCTGGATGGCAGAAGAGGAACACGTGGGCCCCACCCACATGACTGAGCCGTTTCTCGACTTGTAAAGCATGCTCGAGGCAGAAGACATGCAGTCGTGAAGAATCTTCATCAGGACTCATGCCCTCCAATGGTGTTGGCTCAGCCACAGTCATTGTTTCGGTCTTACGGGTCAACGAGTTCGAGGTGTCGCGTTGTGATTTCATCTGATGTCTAATACTATCCATCAAAGGATTGTCCTCAGTCGGATTGACTGTTTCTAACTGGTTAATGTCAGTTTCGTCCCCCTCACTATCTGAAGAATTTCCATAAGCTAAAGCTAGTAAGCCAAGTGAGGATGGCTCTTTACGTGCCTCACGATTCAGGGCTGTAACATGTGGGTTCTCCTCATCTGCTTGATTAGGAGACAAAAGAACATTAACATTCATCTTTCTAATCTTAAATTCTGCAAATAAGCAGAGAAGAAACATACAATATACATACAGCACACTCCCAAGCTATCCATTGAACTAATCTTGATAAATTAACAACAACAACAACAACAACAACATACCCAGTATATTCCCAACAGGTTGGGGTCTGGGGGGTCAGTTGTACGCAGACCTTACCCTTGTAATTATATAAGGAGGCTGTTTCCGTAGCGACCCAAGGTGCATTGCGCCGTTTGATATATATTTTTTTTTTCTAGAAACTTCACTAATGTTTGGGATGACACAAGCTTTTGACTGTATATTTATAGATTGATTATACCTGAATAAAGGTCTTGGTGAATAGCATTAGCTTCTTTGACGTGGTCACTATCACTTGCTTCCCAGTTACTTAATACAGTGCAATCAGCTGACATCAGATAACAAGCGGCCACATCCGTTGGTCGAACAATAGCAACGCAAGCAAAACACAAAATCCCGCAAGTCACGCACGAAAACAAGCCCTGCTCACATTGAGAATCTCCTTTCTTTGTTTCGGGCCCCATCTTCTGCTCTTCCCGAGATGTTCTATTCACAGAATGTTTCGAATGGAGATCTTGACCGTATAAACTGGGGAACAATCTAGACTTTGCAGTCAATTGGTTTACAGCTGGTTTGCCAGAGGAAATTGAACGACTGAGGGAGTCTTCCGGAAGAAGCACCACAGGTGATCCTTTACCAAGAGTGCGAAGCAAATGATTGTTCTGTGCCATGTCTTGAATAAACAGTTCTTTTACCAACATGTCACCTTCGCCTTTCCTTTTATCCTTCAATCTGGAACTTCTGGGTTCTGCAGCAACGTTCTTTAGCACTCTGGATAAGCAAATAAATAAAAAGGGTCAAGGAAGCATATCGTTGATTTCATACAACTTTGACAATGACATAATGGTGTCTGTCTCATACGTAGAATCGAATAATCTCAACATAAAATTTCAATTTACTTGAGAAGCTTTGTTAAATTTGTCATAGTAATTGAGAACCTTCTACAGGAGAGAGAGAGAGAGAGAGAGAGAATATAACTGACAATGAAGATTGAATCATGCTACCAAGGACCAAGTAGTTGGTGTAATTTACAAAGAGAAGGGCAATGCAGTTACTTGCATATTCAATAAATTTTAAATAATAATGTATCGAAACTCCATTATCAGAGAAGACGGATTTGGAATATCATGCATTCTTGAATATAGGGGTCTACCCCATAAGAAGCTGGCATACAAACAGAAAACAAACCTTGAATGCAACACAAGTGCTAGGTCATAAAGCAACTGGAAGTGAGACACCATTGGAGGGCAATTAATGGCTGCCCTACGGATTGCAGCTTCTCTTGCAACTCTTAACCATTCAGGAGTTGCAATATTAGCAGCTTCTCCACAGTTAAATCCTGAAACAATGAAATCGTACAAACAAAATAAGCACCTTCTGTACGAAAGATGTTGATATTATATAAAACTGCACCATAGATCAACCATGATATATGTACATATACATCCAATTATGGCGTTATAATTGACTTACCATGACTGAATCCTGAGTGATAAGCTCTTGGAAAAGTGACAACAAATTCTCCAGCATTTTGCACTAACCTATGTTAAGAATTCATGGGGGGATAAGAGTTGGACATATAATATGCAAGAATCTCAGAAGAATATCAACAACTAATGGCATCATCTGGTTATCTTGTAAGACGATGAAAGGAGAATTTATTAGTTTTCCAGCAGCACACAAACAAATAGAACGACATTCAATAGTCACCTGCAGCATGGAACACCGGCGCTAAGGAGCACCTCAGGGGACATGACTGTGGTCTTCTCACCAAGCATTGCAAATGTAACTGCAAAGAAAATGCAGTTGTGAAGTTCATTTGGGAAGTTATAAACAAAGCCTGTAAAAAAAGGACTTCAATTTGTTCTCATTATTTACCCATGATGCCAACTCCACACAACAACAGAGAAAATTAACAAAAGACACCCATAGGCAGCAAATGGGTGTGAAAAGTTGGTGTAGTGTGAAAGGATTCTGTAATTCCTATCCTACATTTTCCCACTCGATTTATTCTTAGGGTGTAAAAAGCATCACTATTATAACCTGAACTAGCAACCAGCTGGAAGGATACCAATCTAAAAGAACAGTTCATGTAACTAGAGACTTTTACTTCAGCACATTTTAGAACCCCAAGAAATGTCCATCAGTTCATTATCCGTCTAAAAATGAGAGAGGGGTC